ATCTCGGCATTCCCTCCAAAGCGCCATACCGGACTTGGATCTGTATTCGGCGCTCGTCCGTTGAAAAGCACGAAGAGAAAAAATGGAGAAAGAAAATGAAAGAAAAAAAAAAATAAAATAAATAAATAAAACGATGAAAGGGAGAGCACGCGTGGTCCAGCATCACTAAACCTTCGGGAATCGGGAACGCGTCTGGCTTTAAACACATTGGTTTGGCTCGTCGGGCGGGGGTCGCCGACCGCGCGAACCGTGATAGCCGAGAGAGAGAGAGAGAGAGTCCAGCTACCGCTCGCTTCTACTCGCTCCTAATCGCGTTATCTCGTCGGCATCGCGTCGGCACTTGAGGGACGCGCGGTCCCTCGCTCCGACACGGCGATCCCCGATTATTAATTCGCTTTAATTGGCGGAGGAGGTTCGGACGTCGGGCGCACCTCTTCGATTTTGTCGCCTCGATCGGTACTCGACTGGGAAGTTCCCGCGTCATCGCGTCTTATCGTTCGCCGACGTTTTAACGATCGATGCGACGACGATTGCATAAGTCGCGCTGCTTTGATGCGACTTATCGCGTCGTTTCGAGGAACATTTCACTCGTTGTCAAATCGTTCCTTATCGTGGCGACACTTTAATGCGACGGGATTGCCCCGCTGGGCCGACGATTGTCTTTTCACATGTGTGATGCAATTGGTTCAATGCCGAGTAAAAAATGCTGCAGAAAATAAAAATATGTATTTTATGAGAAGCGAGATAATGGTGTGCATGTATCTTGATTATCGATTAATATGAAATATCAGATAAGCGCGGGGAGATAAGCGCCAGAAAATTGTCGAGCATTGTTGTTCAGAAGGTTGTTGCATATTAGCCGCGAGCGTATCGATCCGCAATGTGGCAACGAGAATTATTGATTCTCTGCACGTTGTCGTTGCATTCGTTAAATTCCATCGAAGGTTAGTAGATTGTGATATCAAATTTTCTTTTCATTCCGAAGAAATTGGTTCATGCGGTCGCACGGAAGTGTCCGACGTAAGGTAAAAGCGACAGTTATAAAGTTTAAATTGAAGGAGCGTGACTGGTGGTATTAGATCGCGAGGTGAGCTCGATTTGGTAAATCGTCCTTAGTGACGAATATCTCGATTATTCGTAAGGGCCAATCGTTCGAACAAAGTACAATAAAGTCTATAAAATATTGCCCAATTTTCTAATAATATTGGATCTTGGGTCGTATCTTTTATTATTAAATTTGTAAACGATAGTCTTTTGCGTTCGAAGGAGAAAGTAGCGCGGATACGTTGACAATTGGGACCAAGGACTTGGCAAATGACTTATACGATTTGGTTGGGAACGAAGCGGAGGCGAATCAACTTATCGGTCAGACAACAAGTACTGCGAGTGCTAATAGTGTCGAGGCGAGGACGAGTACCGTCACGGAGAAAGTGTTGAAGAAATTGCGTCGTCGAATCGTAAACGGAACGAAAGCCGTCCTCGGCCAATTTCCACAGCAAGTAAGAGACGCGATTAGATTATATGATTGTATCCATCTTATTATATCGATTTGCGTTGTATTAATTACGCGTTGTATGTAACGAATTAAAAAAACAAACCCCCCCCTCCCCCTGCCCCTGCCCCTGCCCTCCCCCCATTTATGAACCAATTAAGGTGTCGTTGAGGAGAAGATATTCACAATCGCATTTTTGTGGCGGCAGTATATTGACAGCCGAATGGATTCTTACGGCTGGTCATTGCATGTCAAAGTAAGTCGATTATGAATTAATAATCTTAAGTAATAATTATTAATTAATACGATTCGGACTATTAATCGAATGATGTTGATATCGTTAGCCCGTTATATCGTCATTGGGCTTAAGCGCACTTTAGCATTAGCCATCTCATTAATAGACAGGAACTGTCTTTCAGTAATGTGAAGAAAGTACTGGAGCCCTATACGATAACAGTAGTCGCTGGAGAAATTGTGCTGAAAAACACAAATTACGCTCGACAATGGAGCTACGTCAGAAAGATCATAGTGCACCCGCACTTTAATGTCGAAACGTTGGAAAATGACGTGGCCCTGTTGCAGGTCCGTAACGTAAATTTTCACTCTCAATTCAAAGCTTCTGTAAAGAATAAGCGACGCTATAATTATTTATGAAATTGCTGTGCACTGATTTTAGTTGAGCAAGCCATTAACGTTTGATATGTACGTGAGACCTATCACTGTGGCTTCTACATCAACGAAACCAAGTACAACGTGTCAAGTATCTGGATGGGGATATAAAAAATACGTGAGTTTTTTGTTCTTACACGAACGTGTTAAATTTACTTTTATTCAATCTCTCTGTCTCTCTCTCTCTCTCTCTCTCTCTCTCTCTTTCTATCTATTACGCGCGTGTTGGCGTCACTATCTTATCTAGAAATGCCATCTATTATTAATTGTACTAAGTATCATACCTTATTGTTGTTTATTTAGGAAGAGAATGTTGCCAGTAGTTATTTAATGTATATTGATATTCCAATGATGCCCGTTCGTCTATGCCGGAAGCTCCTCGTAAATTATACAAAGGTACCCGCGGGTATGCTGTGCGCTGGATATCTTGAAGGCGGTCGAGATGCTTGCCAGGTACATTAGGCTTCTGTACTTAGAAAACGATAATACAGCTTTGGCAAATTCTTTGTCGTATCCTGGTAATTAGACATTATTATGATAAACATGTCATGATGATATTTGAAATGAAATGGAAAAATTCATTTAGAATAATACTTATAACGATAATACCTTTGTCGATATCTTAACGTTTAGCAGATAATTAAAGTATCGAATTTCTTAGCGACACGTACTTATATAAATTATGTGTGTGTTTTCTTTTCTTTTTTTTTCTTTTTTTTTTCTTCATTTTACCTACTTTGACGTAATGTTTGTTGGTGGTAATTAATAATAAGTGCTTCAACTAATCAGACTTTGTCACACGAACTAATCGTTTATTGCAAAGTTTTTTTTTTTATTAAACGCTTTTTAATATAATTTTTGCACGCGTTTGTGCTAATTAGTTGCGCTTTCAACTATTAACTATTTCTAACTATTTATCATAATAGTGCACAGTGATAATCAATTGTATATGTTTTTATTGCTTTATCACACGATAAATAGTCTAGCCTCGCAATAATCTAGGCCCGTGATAATCACATTTACATGTACTTTTATTATATTGAAATGGACGGGCAAATGGCAAAAGCTCGACCAATGCATTAAATATTATCATGAAAATTATCCAATAACCTTCAGATATTCCAATGTCTCTCGTATTCAACGTCAAATCAATAATCACATCGCTCATCTTCACAGCTCAGGCGAAAAATCTTGTCACACGCACTCCCATAACATCAGATCGACATATTTGGCATTAAACGATTAAAGGTCATTAAAGGCCAGCGGTCGAAAGTGCCGTGCCGAGTTTTTCATGCAATTTCCAATTTATTCCTTAGAAATTTATTTACATGCTCGTATGCTCTGAATGTCATAGGGCGACTCAGGCGGTGGTCTGCTATGTCAGGGATTTCTGACGGGCGTAGTTTCCGGGGGCGAAGGGTGCGCCTGGCCACGGTTACCCGGATTGTACTCCGACGTGAAGTTCTACGCATTCTGGATTAAGCAGCACGTGAATCTAACGCAAAGTTTCGTTAGTTCGAATCCCATCAGCCGAGCCTCCGCTTCCTCGTCGCTCTCGTCACCTCTTTTTGGACTAATAGCCATTGTTCTCCGGGCCCTCCACGCCGAGGCCAACTAACTACTCCACCTTCTCTACGAGCTTTCAACTATCTAGCATCCAGTTACGTCGTGTTTATCCATACCTCTTGAACGATAAATAAAGTACCTTATGGCTTAAGGCGCCGCAACGTCGATTTTTTTTTTTCTTATTTACAAATGCTTATATCCTTGATAACGCATGCCTGCCTTAGCAGCTCCTATCAACGGCATTTAATATATCGGATTGGCTTAGGCTTCGTTCGCGACGTTACAGCGCTTCCAAGCTACTCGATTCTTAATGTAAAGTGCAGCTTTTATATTGTAAATATTAGAATTTTAACCGTCTTTTCGCTCTTTTTTTTTTTTTTTTTTTTTTTTTTTTTTTTTTTTACGCAGTGATTAATATTTTTATATTAAAGTGGATAACCAAGTGCTTTCTTATATAAATCTCATATATTTTGTGGTATTACAATATAATACAGGGAGTATTCGAGAGAATTGTAAAATATGTACTTAAGCACCGAAGCTACAAAAGGTTACAGCACGAAGTTTTAGGGATACCGTAATCTAATACGTGCTTCGTAGGAAATATTGTAAAATAAAATTAACATTGCCGAACATTCTTAGGACTTTAACTTTTCATGGCAAGGTTGGAACACCGCGTAGGTATTACCATCCGAGACGAGTAACAGGAATTTAAGGGTCCTTTGATCTTACGGGAGAGAGCTTTTTGATATCACTCCGTGGCTTTGGGCTTTACGCCATTCGAATGTTAATGCAACGAGAATGTTAGAGACGAGTCTACTCTCTTACGTACATTTGGCGCTGAAAATCAATAAAGACAAAGAGAGAAGGAGGAAAAAAGGAAAAAAAAAGAAGGAGAGAAGAAAAGCGGAAAGGAATGAGAAAAAGAAGAAAAACATTAAATGTTATTACGAGAAGATTAGGGAATGAAGATTTTTTTTTGTGAAAATTTTACGGCTCCATTGGCGGCTAAACGAACCTAACAATTAACAATAATATATTTAATTACGTGTCTTATTGCTTTTGCCTTACGGCTCCTTCTATTATCGAGCACTGTAACAATGACTAATTAAGATCTTTCGAGTTAAACTTTCCAAAAGCTAAGCGAATGAATTATCCATGAATCTTTGAAGACTGGAAAGATAAAGCTGATTTAATTACATTCTCTTTAGTTTTAAAACTTCGTCAAACGGCTAAAATCCTTTAATTACCTCTTGTACTTTCTTTGCCGAGATTTTACGAAAAACATTTGTGGAAACCTGTAAGAATTCACTCCGACTCACCGACTATTACTATTATGATGTAATTATACGAAATTCTCAATCTTAACCAGGTTGAAGATTATAAATTTAGCGATATCGACGAGTGGGTGAGAGTGGGGGAGGAGCAACGGATAATTCCCCCGATTACTTCATTAATATCGATTTTTTATTCTCAATACTTAGTACGGTTTCTTCTTATTTCTCTTCTTCTTATTATTCTTCTTCTTCCTCGTCTTCTGCTTCTTCTGCTTCTTTTACATTTCTTCGCTTCTCGACCAGCAACGCGTTAGCTCGTCGTTATAAAAATTTGAACAGAGCAGATTCAAGGATTCACAACTATTTAGTCGTCTAGATATACATTTATATAAGAAAATTATTCGATCGTACGCACATTACACGAACTTGTACGTGTTTTTCTAGCGAAACCTTTTGCTAATTAAAGCCACTCTCCGACTACTATATTTGCCCTTTAGTCTCTCCTTATTTATTTCGTCTCCCTCGCTTTACTCCCTAGGCTTGCTCGTCGTTTCGTTCGCCAATACGATGGGTGGATGATATCTATACACCGTGAGAACTTTTACCCTGCATTCATGGCTATTACGTGGAAAAGGACGAGAGATCGAGTCTTACTATCGAATACGTTTTACCCGTCTGCACCTAATGGACTTTAGTTTATCGCCTTTACCTTTTCTCTCTCTCTCTCTTTCTCTCTCTCTCTTTCTCTCTCTCTCTCTCTCTCTCTCTCTCTCTCTGTTCTTTTTCAAAAGAGACCGGGCACTCAAATTTCCTTTCTTATTTACACTAATTTTTATTCCCCGAACAAGGCGGAAATTTTCGAGTTTAAAGCGAAACAACGTTTTTCAATTGATTGTACAAATTTGTTCTTGTCTTCAAATTTAGAACCGCGCGAAACTTTTTAATTTTCATTATTTATTTCACGATTTGACTACCGGGCACTATGTACACTACTCTTCAATTTAGGATTCGAGTAATTTTACGTATTTCGTGTTTTCGAATGAAAGATAAAAATCCCAATGTCTACAATCTTACGAATAATTTAATGGTGACGTCGTTATTCATCGGCTAGCACATAGCACATGAAGCATACGATTTTGCGGAAATGGGACGAAACGAATGATAAATATATAAAAAAAAAAAATATACGAAAACTCTACTTATGCAAGGTTTTGTGACAAATTATTCAATGACTTGTTTCTCTCTCTCTCTCTCTCTCTCTCTCTTTCTCTCTCTCTCTCTCTCTATCTCTGTCTTAATTTAAACTTGAAATGTTTGGTTCAATTGCGCATTGCAAGGCACGACTGGCAATTGGCACTATCGATTGAATCATTTAACCGCTTTAAAGCTATAAATAGCTATTCGTCTAAGATATTAATTATCGTATTATCATTCGATAATTTAATGACTCGTCGATACCATCAAGACGCGATTTACATTTACGGGCGTAATAATGTTTTCACCTCTCGATCTCCTAACTTTTCGTCAACTACCGATATCCAATTACTTACCGTAAGCGAAGTCATTATTTCTTGGCCACGGCAACTGTACCCCTTAAATCCCAACCATTAGTCACTTAGTTCTTGTACGTAGTCGCCATATGCACGTCCAATCATATTTTCGTCTATTATTATGTCATCGTTGTCTCCTACTTTTAAATATAGCTAATTCACGTATGGCCAATACGGTATTACAGAGTTACGGCTTGTAAAAATGTATAAGTGAACGAGAACGAGGCGTCGAGTAAGCGTCCGTACATTATCATTACGAACTCTTTATAAAGTATCCCGCATGACGATTGCTTTTAATTATTTAACGCATAAAGTTACAATAGCTTCGCGTAGTAGTGAAATAAAATATTTATTCCGAATAAGGATATTTTAATGTGTGCGCGCAAGATACCGTGTTATACCCTATTGTGATAATATCATTATATAAACAATAAATTATAAAAGAATATGGCACTTTACTTTCACTCGAAAAAACGGAAGAAATAGTTTATAAAATAAAATGAACTATCGCGACGATAAATATCCTCCAAATGGTTGAGTTCCGGCTCGGTTTACGCATAACAATATTATGTCCATAGGAATATTATGGTTCATTGAATCGCTTAGCTTAGCACTTTGCTTTGTGTCGAAGCAAATTTCAACTATAAACAATTTTATAAATATCGGACTAGATTGTTCTAAAAGAATTATTGGCCATCCTTTATCGTATTATTACATTCGATCAGACGATTATCATATCGATGTAGTTTATCTATTGCATATTGGCTAGTGCCGATGTAATTTCAAGATAAAGCATAAAAAAGTATAAATTACCGTTTAAATAAACAAGCGATAATTCCTATCGAGTTTATAATTGAACATGTGATGTGCACAATCATTTGATTCATTTGATTAGTTTGTTAAATCCAATTATTAATATCACACACTCAATCTCAGCATATTGACAATTAATTACATATTATGAGATTGTTAAGTGAAGCATTCATCTTCTAATACTTTCAATAGTACTTCATGTTTTATCGTGATCAATTTTCATGGATTAATACAGTAGAGGCGAGAGATCACTTTACCTTAGCCTCAATGAATCTTTCAAAATTCATTTGAATATGTTGAAGCCAACATTCAATGTCTTTTAACCGTAAAAGAACTTTTTACATTTGTAATGAAACATTTTAACGATTGGGCGCCTTTATTACGGGCAACACGCCCAACAGCCACGATCGACGATGCGTCTGATGTCAGGGGAGCAGGAGTTTACTCCCTTTTACTCGTGCATCGGTCGCTCACACACACGCACCCTCAATCCAATGTGTAATCTAGATAATCTATGCCTCTGTCCTTCTCACTCATCTAATACAAGCAGCGCACACGTACATATTTACTTTGCTCCTAAACAGCAAGACTTGCTTACGGCTATGGCTACACTTGTTCCTCGCCATTTTGCCAGGCTTTATGCCGACCTCATTGAAATTACAGTAATGCTTCATATCCCTGGACTTTCAATTAGATTATATACATTTCTCATGAATAGCGATATTGTCTGATCGAAAGAATATTGAATCTGTGAAAAAAAAGTGAATAAGATTATAGTTTGTTTTTATATTTGAAATATCGCTGTTTTGCTTTACGATGCAAAATTACGTAGTCTATTTTCAAATGCTACTCCGCTTAATCTTAGTTATACAATAAATGCTTTGTTTAACATCATAAATTATAATTTTCCACAATCATTTCAATACAAGGCATCTTTATATCGATTTTAAAAATAAATTTCTTAACACACCGACACATCGATGCCTACAGCCATACGGAAACACGCGCACGCTGTTTTTTTTTTGTTTTTTTTTTTGTTTTTTTGTTTTTATTTTTTTTTTTTTTGTTTTGTTTTTTTGTTTTGTTTTTATACATATGTGTGTGTAATGTCGTTTGCAATATAGGCAATATATTGTATTTTTTGCCTAATAAGTAAGTTTAATGCTTATCTCTTTGAGCAATCATAAGGTTTATGTTAATTAGTTTTAATGATATTTAGACCGAAAACTCGAAGAATCACGTGGCTCTCAATCATTTTTAATCAAGTAGTACAATTACATAACAGCTAAACACGAGGTTTTTTTTTCGTGTTATTTTTTTTCCACAAGAATAATCTTTTTATCATGGTAAAACATATATTTTATAATAGAAAAAGTAGATTCATACATACACATAATTTTTTATTAATTTTCACATTATATTCATTAATACACAT